CTCCCATTATTTAATTAGTTAACTAAAAGCTCTGACATCTATTCATTTTATATTTGTAGGAGAATCATGAACTTACCTTTTTCAAAAATTACCCTTTAACATTTTACGTTATCCCATGCATGAGCAAATATTTCTGAAACTTAAGTAACAGCTGGAAAGAAAAATTTATTTATTTTTTTTTTAATTTTAGGGTATTATGAGGGTGCACACATTTTGGTTACACTTTATGTCTTTGCCTCACCCAAGCGAGGGTTAGAAAAATTTATTTTTATTCCCATGTAAGTATTTCCTGAATAAATGTATGTATTATTTTTAATTTTTAATATGATTAATTATCCTATACCCTTAAGTCATTAAAAAAAACTTTTCCTAAGTGGCAGAGCAATGAATAGTAGACACACAAGAAGAGTGAAGAATCCTAGTAATAGTGATGAACTTTTATTAGATATTTGCCATGTTCCAAGTGTCGACCTGTATCCCCTCACTGACTCCTCACAACGACCCTAAGAAATGGGCACTTCACGTTGCACCGGAGGAAACCGAGGCAAGGAGGGCTTGAGTAACTTACTCGAAGTCACAGGCTGGTTAAGTGGAGGGGCCCAGCCTCGAACTGGGAGAGCGTGGCTCCAGACCGAACTAACTACCTCTCAGAGGGAAACAAAGAAAATTTTAAGAAAGCTGAACGCGTTTAGCACCATTTTTCCTCGCTGCTGTTACCAACGTTACCGAAGGATGATCGTGAAACACACACTGCCCTTGACAGTTCGAGCCAAGCCTCCTCGCGGGCAGCGGCAGCAGCGGGAACAAGGAAGACGGCCGAAGGCTGGGAGGTGCGAGGAGGCAGGGACGACGAACAGGGTGGGTTATGTGCCAGAGTAACAGTTGAGGAAATCAATTTTATGATAATAAACATCAGAATAAATCCTAACTTTGATCACTTTGTCTACAAAATGTCTCATACAAAATGCACACAATAGCCCCACGCTCCTTTTGCCCGTGCACAAAACTGGCTCTTGGCTCTTGGAAGAACAGTCCAAGGCGCCCTCCTGCTCCACACTTCTGTGGCGGCCTTGGGAAGCAGCTCAGGGGTACTGAGGGTTAGAGGTTTACTGTCAACTGCAAAGCCTGTTCATGCTTGAGCTGTGCTCTAACAAATACCTAGCTATTACCATTCTCTTCTGGACTTTCTTGGTCTCTAAACTCCTAATTTATAAGGCACCCAAATCCTTAAAACATCTCTACAGTGATTCATAGTGCCAAGGCGCTTCAAAGATGTTACCTAGGACAGCCAAGTTCACGAAAAGCTGCTAAGCCCCAGGACTTTTTCAACACATGATACCTTCTCAAGACAAGTGGGCGACCTCCCTCTCAGCCAGCAGTAAACTGCAGTAGGTGGAACGGTAACACGCTAACTGAATTACTAATGATCTTCAAGCCTGTACTTGAAGATCATATATATAAAGACTAGTGGAGAATTTTCCCCATTCGTAGAAAAGCCTAAAATAAAACTATGATTAAAATATTAGTAGAATTAATTTATCGCCTTCAGCAAGTGCTTACGGAGCAGCACTCAGTACATAACTCTATAAGCAGAATCAATCCCTAAGGCCAGAAAATAAATTATAGGCATAATTAATATGTTAGATAAATAGTTTAAGTATGAAAGTACTAATTGTAAAAGTTACTAAAACACTATACTAGGGATTAAAAATCCAAAACTCCAGATTGGGATATAAGGTATCATTTACCTGGCATCAATTTCAATGATTAAAGCTAAACATTTCTGGACTAAGTAAGGATTATGCGCAGGAGTTATAAACAAAATTAAAGACCAGATTGAACCTAATTATTCTAAAATATTTCTAGAAAAATCAAGCAATAGATTATAAATTCTATTTTGACTTCATGTACCACCTGAATATTAAAACTACTAACTCCATGTAACATATTAATGCTCAAATCATTAAAAGCATTAGTTATTAATATTTCAAGACTTTTTTTTCCCACAAAATGCAAACTCAAAAAACTAAAGAGGTAAGCAGCTTTTGCGAAAAGTTTTAACTGATTGCAACATTCACCTACAGCAAAGCTGACTGACCAGGCTTCAGAAATAACACCCTCTCCAAACAACTGAGGTGTCTTCAGTCGTACTTCCTGGGACGTTTCTGGATTTTGAGTCCCTTTACTGTACGTACATAAAACTTTTTGGCAACTGAAAAATAAAACAGAAGGCAAGACGGTACTCACTTTTCAATCTCAATGCCAAGAGGATTAGCAGGACGCAGGGACAAGGGAGGAATTCCTTTATTCCTGTCGGTACGCATATCGTAATAATTCATTTCATCGACCCACACAGCAGACTGGTCCAAAATGCCTACAAACAACGAGGAGCACGGCCTCAGTAAGATGAAAACCCCCTTAGGCACCGTCTCGGTCTTGCCATTTTGCTTTGCTTCTTAAAGACCTAATACAAAATGCCTGTTAGACAATTTTTAAGAGATTTGAGGGCATAACGGATCAGAATTTCTTTTTAATGACTAGTGGCTTAATTTTTAAAACACTAAGAATCTATAAAAAGACAAAAATAACACTGTATGTTATTCAATAAAGAAGACAAATTAAGCCTCTGAGAAAAAGTCCTGCTAAAACAAATGTATTTTACAAATAATAAATAACAACAATTACATATACATGGGTAAATATAATTGATTAAATTGGTAAAACAAATTTAGAAAGTTAGCATATAAGATGCAATGATATGACCTATAATATCTGTTTATTTAAGAGAATATTACAAAATTGTGTAAACTTTTGGCTGGGAAATACCTAAGCACAAAACATTTGAATTAAAAATTAGTTCACTGGAAGTCATCTTGTTTATGATTACTGCTGAAAAATCATTTTGCATATATGATTTTATATTTAATAATTTGAGTTTCTTCTTCTGGGTTCCATATGCTACCTAAGATATTACAGTACAGATGAAAACCAAATATTTTTTAAATGGTTCTTGGAAATTCTTAAGAAATACATTTCATTTTCTTTTCCTCTACAAACACTGACATATTTTCATGAATAGTTATACAAAATAACATACCCCTTGCTAGTTCTTATTCTTTTTACTACTATTAATGTAAGAAATGTTCTAGATAGTAGAAATAGCAGGTTTTTTCCATATTATGTTGAAATCAATTTCGTAAGTTCAACAAAGTATCCAACAATTAAATCAGTCAAATACCTTTCAAGGAATGCATGGCTTGAGTAATGGAAATGACTAGGTAATTCAGGGAAAACTGACTGAGTGTGGACCAGAAGTACAAGACGATCTCTAAAAATAGCATCTTCCTTTATGTGACTGAGCTCTTTATCATTCAGCTCGGCACGGGACTTACCAGCTACCACCTCCAGGACCCTGGCTGCTACAGGACAGGGGCCAAGTGCCAGGGAGCACAGAGGAGGTGTGCCCACCTCTGTGGGGGAGCTTGGGAAGGCTTCCTGGAAGGCGGCTAACTGAATACCAGGCAACCCTGCTGCACAATCCTCTGTGACCCCCCGATTCTCTCAGCACCCACGGTTCTGCCAGCGCGTACCAGGGGCCTTTGTCAAAAGCTGTGCTCCAGTCCAGACGCATGTGAGTTCACTTCAATAAACCTCTACTGAGCCTACGATGTGCTAGGTCCTGGGCTGGGTATTTTAGAATCAAATTACTATATTCACAGAAGTTTTCTTTACCTGCTGTATAAACATGTTATAAGAAGATATTAAATTTTATCAAAATGTTTAATTTCCTCCAGAAAACTGTACAACTTCCTGCTTTCATTTCACAGTTCAGTTTTTGACGATATTAAATAAAAAAGAATAAAAATGAAAATATTATATTTATATATGTACATATGTAAGCATATATATATATAAATAAATTCCACTTTGAATTTTCCCTTAAATTTTTATTTATTGAAAAAAATTCTAGGAATTTGTAGAGAATAATGCTATAGAAAGGCTCTATGCTCTGAGATAAAAAAAAAAAAAAGCAATTTGCAAAATTATTTACTTTTTTTATATAAAGAGAAGTACTGCCCGGGTTTAATTATGCCTATTGACAGTCCTACCTGGCACAAGATTTATTTATCAAGCTCTGACCATGTGCAAGACATTATAGGACCACAAAGATGAACCTGACAGTACTCTCATTTTAGTAGGGAGACAGGCATGCACAGAAATAGCTGTAGGAAAATAATGAGAAACTGTTAATTTACTGTGTAAGGGACCATGCCAAGCACTTTTTGTTCTAACTCATCCAATATTATGAAGTAGGCAATGTTATCACTCCACTTTCGCCCCCGAGGAAATGAGGCAGTAAAACCACACAGCTAGTCGTGGTGAGAGCCCAGCTTAGAATTCAGAGTGTGGCCCCTCAGACCGAGTTTCTAACGTCGCAGACACAAGGGAGCGAGGGTAAGTGCACAAAACAGGGAAACATAAAGCACAGCGGGGTTCGAGGAAGACTGGTTGTCACTAGCGTGGAGGGCCAAAAGCAGATCTATGCCAGGCAACATGTCACCCGAGCCTCGGAGGACGGAGAAAAGGAAGGAAAAGGGAACATTATTTAGATAATATTATTGCTAAATTGGCCAAATTAAAGGATATTTCACCTCAAATCTTAATTGTATAACAGTTTAAAAGCAATGTCATTATAGTCTAGATCAAAGAACCAAAACTGCTATATCGAAATGCTACATGAACAGATTTTACTAAGAACTTAGAAAGACAGTCCTCTTACGATCGTCAGCCTTAGATCTTCCTGACTGTGAGCTCAACAAACTGCCTTTTCGACAGTAACGCAAGTATTAACCGACGCCCCACTCGTGTCGAAATAAACGTAAACTGAATCTAAGCTGAGATGGAGAGTAGGTAAATTTCATATGAATCTACCAGTTGTACATTTTAAAAGAAACTCATTTTTACTTTCTTCTTTAGCATAAAGTCATGAAAGGATTTACCTATTTTTTCAGGTTTGAGTAGCTTGAAAGAGACTGTTGAGGTTCCTTTGCCACCTGACTTGGTTGTGACAATAATGTCTCCTTTGTCATTTTTCGCTTGTCCCACTCGACACACTATTTTACTCGCAGACATCCATTCTGCCGTCAGGAGGCAATTATGTCCACAAATCGTCAGGCCTGGAAATGAAAGCATGCACACGACAAAGTTCAAAGGTAAGAACGACAAGACCTTAAACATGTATATTACATTAAAAATCCAGAAATAACATTTCCTTGTTCAATAGTTGTATTTATTAGTAAATATACCCAACATTATTTGTAAATATACTGTTGTCTTTATTCATTTTTTAATGTTTTTTCTCTAATATTTAAGATTTCTTTTATACCATATTTAAGTTTATTGAAACATCAGTGGAATAAGAAAATAACTGACCACATAATTATGTGTAGGCATTCCAGATTACTTTGACTATGAGAATCTTAAATTGCTTTTAGAGGTATTGGAAGGGAAATGACTGCTATTATTAGAAGTCTAAGTTATTAATGTTAGAATTTTAAAGCGTATTAATAAAATTTACATATCATTCCCTAAAAACATTCTGTATTCATCCATCTTCCTGAAAGTAATCTGCAGGTACTTTTTCTAGTGTTCAGTTACACTTTGTGTATGTCAGGCACAGCCTACGGTAAACACAGTGAAACGTTCCCAGGCATTACCAGATCATCTCACTTTTTCCATCCGCCTATGAATGGTAGTTCCCGCTGCCTTAGTGTCTTCCTAATGAAACTGTCACTACACTACATTCTGCTCTTACAGTAAACCCACACTCCCAAAATGTCACCTCATGTCACCTCCCCCATGCCGTGTAAATTAAAATTTAGGCAATAACCAAACAGGGAGGCACTAGTGAGTGAGGCATGTCCCCCAGGCAGAACACCAGGATTCCGCCACACTGGCCAGCTAATCTTCTCACTTATTTCCTTGGCATTTTCCATTTCTGTAAAACAAAGACCAACGTCATAAATATTTTATGGAGAAAATAAACTAGAACGTGTGTGGCATGGACCCAGACACTTCACACTTTCTCTTCTCTTTGGCTTTGCAGACTGCTCAGCAGTCAAGCTTGGCAAGTGCGATGTTTTTTCCAGATACCACAAACACCTCGACTAATGCCAAATCTGATTTTTTTGATGGAGGGAGAGATTCAAGTCATCTTTTATTCCAACTTGAAGTACTATTTAGTAAGATTGTTATACTAACCGTAAAGGAGTAAAAACTACTACATGTTTAAGATACATTTATGTTGCTTGAAATAATGAATTTTAGGGGTTTCCCCAAAACATCTATTATTTATTCATGTATGCAACCTTTGTTAATAATAGCATTTAAAGATTCCTTTGGGACTAAGTCATCCATCGGTATTTTTTTAATGTGCACAACACATTTTTAGATGTATTCATAATTTAAAATTATTTTTTCAAAAGGGGAATATCTTTGATATCTTTTCTTATAACCAATTTTTGCTATAAAAAATTTAAACAATTTAAGAGACTGAAAGGCTCTCCAAATGCCACCTCCCAAGAGAAATACTGCTGACACTTCAATGCACATTTGCTCAAGTAATTTTATGAATACATAAACCAGTCTAGATATTTTTTAAATAAATGCTTTAATATGTAATCTGCTTAACCACAGATGGCGGATATTTTGGTATCACTCCAGGTCAATACACAATTTAGTATTTTTAAATTTTTTAATATCAAAAAGATTCTTGCGATTTTAAATATAAACTCACTTCAGAAAAAAGAATAACTCAACAATTATATGTTAGGGCATAATATAAAGATACAAATAGTATCTTCATTAAAAAGAAAGAAGTCATTTCTAATATAAGTTCCTTGCAAGAGAACTATCCTAAGATTAAAACCAAGGAGTAGGAGCTAGTTCCGATATATCGACACAAAGTCTTAAAAACACGTTCACATGAGCAAACATGAGCGATATCCATGAAGGTACAAGTCAGCACAAACCACCCCAGAATAATTGTTTATTCATCTGGTCAAAGCTGTTTTCAAGAGTCCTCTGGTCTAGTATCTTATCTGCATTTTTACTCCAAAAAATTAATAATCAGCAAATAATCCAAACAGATTCAAATACATCATTTTGAATGTCATGAAAATAAAATCATTAACACCTATTTCTTGATTTCTTTAGCATATTTTTGCTAATTTACTTAACACTAAGAAATCTGCTTCATGAAGTATATTAATAATAATAGTACCTTTTTTAAAAAATAACTTGTAGAATTTCAAGTAAAGTACTTTTTATAATATTTTGCTTGGCTAATGTAGGTAACATTTGAATTTAAAACATTTAAATTATTTAGCAGATTAAGTTTTTGTTTTTTTGTTTTTTTTTTAAATGGTTTCTTGGCAATACATGAGGCAGGTTGTAAGGTGAACTAGCAAGGTAAAAGTAACACATATTTAGTCAAGTAAGAATAGTATTGCCTGAAGCTAAAATGTGATTAAAATTTACATAGACTAGTAACTGTCACGTCTGGGAGCTCACAACTGCCAGTTAAAATTTTGGGCATAACCTCCACCTGTATAGTAGATTTCCATGAATTCTGGGGAATTTTTCCACTTGGGTAAAGAAACATCTGGAACGAGCTATGTCAAAAACCAAGACATAGGATTATATAAGACTACATTTGCAAGAATAAATTTAAGCAACGTTTACTAAAGAATCAAAAACCATAGTTAGAGAAAACAATATAAAATGAGATGTACTTAAATAACACCAGCAAAAAGAAATAGCTGGGAAGTGCAAAACTCAGTTACTAAACATAGTTCTGAGATCCAATTCACTTTTTTTAAAGGATTTTCTGGACAGCCAAAACCCAATCTATCAACCAGCAGCTATAATTCAGGAAAAACAAGTTCTAACTCACAATCTCAAACACTTTACCAATGGGTCCCTCATCAGTTCAGAAATGAGTCAAGACAATGTCTGAGTCCAGAATAAATTTATGTGGGAAGCCGGACTACGCATTCGGTGGCACGCACGGGTTCTTCCCTTCCCCATCTGAGCGCGTCTGTGTACCCACAAGGGGAGCTCACACGCACAGAATCGTAACTGACCATAAAATTACATTAAAATTTGTTCTCCACCCTGGGTGTCCCGGACGCCCATCTGTATTTTAGAAAACAATGTGTAGGCTCCATCTTCAGAGACTAAGACTAAGCAGGCCAGAAAATGTATTTTTAAAGTCCAGGAGAGATGCAGACAAGCCAGGGCTGAGAGGCACTGGCAGACATGAATGCCTCAAGAACAGGCCAGCAGCAAAGGTCCCAAGTCATGCAGCTGGGGGAAGCACGCTATGCAAGCCAACATCCAAAAATATATGCACCGTGCCAACTGCACACATGGTGTTGTTCTATCATCCATGTCCTTGAGCTCAAACTCTACTAGAAGAGATAAAAAACACGAACAGATCCTAAAAACTAACTCTGGCTTGCTTTAAATGGGATGCACGGGTCACAGGGAGGATCTATGCCCAGCAAGTGGCACAAAGATAAGAGCCGAGTGGCGCCCAGCTCACCAGGAGATGGGGTTTAGATTTGCTTTAAGGAGCAGGAGAAGCACAATTCACAGAACACTTGAGAAAGAGCAGTTGTATAAGGGAAGGAAAACCAAAGAGAGCAAAAACACGGAGGTGGCTGTTTTGGCAATCTAAGGGATTGAAGCCGAGAAATCGGAGTGAATCTCAGCCACGGGAAACTTTCCAAAGGACTTAAAAGGCAATACAGGCCGGGCGCGGTGGCTCACACCTGTAATCCCAGCACTCTGGGAGGCTGAGATGGGAGGATCACTTGAGCTCTGGAGTTCAAGATCAGCCTGAGCAAGAGCAAGACCCCGTCTCTACTAAAAATAGAAAAATTGGGGGGAGAGGGGGGCAACGGCAACATACGTAACCTAAACATCTGCACCCCCATAATATGCTGAAATAAAAAAAAAAGAAAAAAAAAAGAAAAATTAGCTGGGCATGGTGGCATGCCTATGGTCCCAGCTACTCTGGAGGCTGAGGCAGGGGGATGGCTTGAGCCTAGGAGTGTGAGGTTGCTGTGAGCTATGATGATGCTACTGCACTCTACACAGGGTGACAGAGTGAGACCTTGCTCCCCGCCCCCGCCAAAAAAAAAAAGCAATATAGATAAGATTCGATAAAATAAAAAAATCAGAAAACCAAATAATTCCTTTATTTTTTTTCAGCTTGTTCTGTAGTGATCACAATTACGTTTTTCTACAGGTCTTACAAGGGACTTCACTATTTCAAAGTAAGACATCCTGTCTCACGCGCCCAACATACAAGTACGTTTGCCAGGGTGCATGGCAGCGTCCTTCCCTTACCTATGAGGTCAGTGGGGCCAGTGCCCAGGTTTTCTCCTCTGATTGTGACCTTCGTCCACGGTATTCCTTCATTTGGAGAGATACCTGTCACAAGGGGGGGCTGCCGCAATCGAGACATTGTGTTTCCTGGACTGAACTGGTAATCCAGTTACAGAAGCAACCTGCTAAAAAAGAAAGGAAAAAAGGATTAGTGCCAGCTGAGATAAGCATGGACAAAAAATATAAGAATGCTAGACTTTCAGTACCTAAATATAAAAAGTATGCTTAAACACATAGTTCTGAATTTTTTAGCTGTCATTTAGCCAATCAGCCAACATCTGCTGAACATTAAGTTACTTAAGTTACTAAGTGTTAAGTACTAATACTCTAGTTAGTATTGTGAGAAATATAAAAGAATAACAGAAAACTAAGCCCTTGGTTCTAAAAACTTTCTGTATAGTGGCAGATAGGACCTAATGGCACTATTTAGCTTCATGCCTACCTCTGCTGAATCCTAAATAGATACTAGGAACTATTAATATTTTACTATTCTACTCCCCAAGTTATTTAAGGAAGATACTCTGATTAATTATATGCAGAAAAATTAAAATACATTTATATTCCCATAGG